TCAAGGAACCATTAAATCTCATTTATATCCCCTATGAAAATAAATGGACCTTAAGTAAAGGGAAAGTTTCAAAGCAGCTTTGATGGTATTTGGAAAATAATCCAGTCCTTGCTTAAGCAACACAGTGGATAGTTCTTTTAGAAAAAAACTTTAATGATTCTTTCCATCTGAGAAGGGATGCTATATGGAATATAATTACTTAAATTTTCACAATAGTAGGAGTATTGACACCATCTGATAGGTCTACAAAGCTTGCTCATTCTGTGCTTACAATAATCCTGGCAGGCCCAGACCACTTCCTTTATTAGATCTTGTACACAGACTGGAGAGGACTGGAAATTAAACTTTATCCACAAGTCACCATGTGGGGGATTTAAAGAAATACTAGTCCTAATGGACACCTTTACATGTTGGCTTGAGTTCTTCACTATCCACTCAGAAAAGGCTCTGAAGATAGTCAAGATACATCTCAAATAAATCATTTGGACTATCCCAGTCCCTTCAGAAGGACCACGGTCCTTCATTTACCTCTCAAATAACTCACAGGATGACAGAGACTTTAGAAATAAAGTGCAATCTCTATGCTGCATAGAGAGCTCCATCCTCTGGAAAGGCTGAAAGAACCACCTAGGCTCTAATGTGAACTCTGGCAAAACTTTCCCAAGGAAGATGTGACTCATGGTTCCAATTATTGCCAGTAGCTCTTAGGAGAAATCAAAACAGCCCTCAAAAAGAGCTAAATATGATTCCATTTGACATGCTATAGAGGAAGCATTTTCTATTTTCTGATATGGTAGTGAAACCAGAGATCACCAATCTCTTGTAATACTTTATTAATCTGGACCAAGTACAACAATCTATTCAATTTTATGGTAACAAACTCCTGCCAGGTCCTATCCCAGGGGAAGTACCTAATATCTGCTTTGGTGAACAACTATTCATTAAAACTTGGAAATATAAGTCTCCAAGAGGCCAACTAAAAACAAAGTGGCTCTTTTCAGGGATCCATGTCATACTCATTACAGTAAAGATGGCAAACATAGATAGGTGGGTTCACATTTCTAGGATGAAGCCAACCTCACTTGAACTGTCTGACAGGAAGATTCAGACAAAAAAAAAGAAAGGTACTCCTATGACACTCTGAAATTTCTGAGGCTTTTTGCAAAAAGTGAGAATCCAGTATCACTCTAGGTGCAGATAAGTAGCATCACAAATGACCCCTGATAAATCGTAATATAAATAGGCACCTGTATTGTAACTCCTGTTTTTAAGAAGATCCATAATATGAGTAATCCTGCTATGGCTCTTCAGGTCTTAATAGTTTATCTAATATGCCTCTTTGCTATGCTTTCTTCTCCACACTAAGTATGGAAATATAACTCCTTAGAAAACTTCCACATAATAACAGGAAAATCTAACATCTCTAATTGCTGGATCTGTCATAATCCACTTTCTAAAGATAGACCAGGAAATAAAACAACTTGGTCCTTATCATATCAGAGCTCTACCTTCTCAAGCTAATAATAAAGTTCATTCATTTAAGAGAGCCCATGACTCTCCTTCCTGCCATTCAAGAGACAGGTCAAGAATTCTTAACATGTAGGTACTAAGTCTTTTCTCATTGCCTTATGACAATTTTTTTCCAGTCCAGTCAACAATTTCCAACATCTCAAGGTAGGGCTGGGTTAAACAATGGAAGGCAGACTGCTGGTGCTGCTGCTTGCTGCCTTCTCCCTACCACACCATAAACTGTTTCTCCTCATCATGCCAACCTGCTTTAGAAATAACAAATTATGGATTGAAATCTCTACAAACTAGGAGCCATGTGCTACCTTTTCCATGTCTCTTGTCCAATTCTTTGCTCAGAACACCAAGAAACTGGGAAGGATCTCATCAAGATCCAAAAGCCAGTAATATAATTACCTTCCAAAAGCCCCAACTCTGTTCACATGAGACCTTGTGTGGCATTCTAGATCCAAATCACAGCAGACAGATCTGAGTATTATTACGCTGAATAAACATAGAACAATCTGAAAAGTTTACATATTGTGTAATTCTGTTTATATCATCTATATGATTTTGTCATTTTAAGAATGAGAAAAAATAGTGGTTTGTCGGGGGGAAAGGTTAGTTGGACAGAGTTTCTCTGAGGTAAAAAACGGTAAAGGAATAGTTCTGAATTTTGCCTATAGTATTAGTAATGCAAATCTATATATTTAGTAAAATTGCTTAGCTCTTCTCCATACACCAGTGCATGAAAAATCTGGTGCAATTTGAATAAGGTTTGATGACCAATCTACGTTAATATCTTAGTGTTAGTATTGCAACCAGTATGGCAAAATGAAACTTCAAAATTTGAGATTTTTTTTCCCTTCATATACAAGTGCTTCTTCTCTTGGGTAATAACATCTTAAAACCATTCATTTTAAAGACAGAGTAGTTAACTCTGAATTGAAATAACTAGCAAGTAAAATTGACACAAGCAAATAGGACCTTGGAGAGGAACAAACCAATAAAGGCTTTGCTGAGAAATGTAGGCAGAAGTGGAAAAGGCAGAAAAAAGGCAGAGTGCAGTCCATTTTTTACGATGAGACCACTAAAGCTAAGTGAAACCATAGGAATTACAGGGCTGCCTGAAATCTCTAAATAGGATCATCTACATCACAGAAAGTTGCAAATTAAAGAAAAAATAGTATATGAGAAATCCAACCTCAAACTGAGAGGGGGACCAGAGAATTGACTTTCAAGGAGATAATAAAATATAAGTGACATCTGGGAAAGGCTTCTCCCTCCACTTTACTCTGCCAATAATGAACTGGGGGAGAGGACCTGCATGTGAGGAATACATTGCTCACTGTAACTGACATACTTGGGTGTGTCTGCTCACATAGCTGACATCCAGCCTTACAATATTGTCCATAAAACTTTACTTTCATTGTGCTTTACAGCTCTGATTCCATTCCCTAGGTCTAGAGAAGCAAACACATTCCTCACACTTTTCCTAACTTCCTCAGACATAGGGCATAAATGGCTACCCTCACATCTCCTCTATCCAGATGAATGGATAAAACATGTAAATGCCGATGCCAAAAGGTAAAATTCCACTTTCCTTTCCTTACTCGAGTGAGAGAGAGAGAGAGAGAGAGAGAGAGAGAGAGAAAGAGACCTGGGTCCACAAAGGGATGGAATAAGCCTGGATATGACTATTATTACCAGACTGCACTTCCTCTCCACCACTGTTCCTGGCTATAAAACCTCTAATGGACCTGTATAAGGTGACTCCAGTTTATAATCAGAGCAAAAGCAAACAACATATTGAAGAAACACTTGCAAAGTGTAACTTAAGCATTTCTCATGTCCTCTACCCCTGCCACTGGCTTCACTCCCAGTCAGATTCTCCTTGTAACATCATTCACTGGCTAAGCAGATAGATAAATGTACAGACCAATGAATGTGCCAGCCCAACAGGACCCTGGCTCTAGCTGTCTTCCTAAACCTTCAAAAGTGGCTGAAGAATTCACTACACACCACTTGAATTTTTGGATACCTAACTTCAGTGTTGCATAAAACACTGGAACCTATATACCCACCCCCTTTCCTTGGGTTTAAATATAAAAGCTAAAATGTGGCAGCAAACTGTCTTTCAGTCAGCTTCCCTTCCACCCATTCAACCTGAATTCATCTTTAAATTTAAGACAAGAAATTGAAAAAAGTCACTAATGTACAAGCAAGGGTATATTATAATATAATGTCTTTCAGAGTGTTTATTTTCTCTAGTATGGAACACACAGAGGGGCTAAGTTTTAGATATTTTAGTAACAGTTATAAGAGGCCATAAGTGTATTGTATTTCATGTAGAAGCTTTAAGACTTCCGCTGTGATGTCTAACAAGCACAGTATATATCTAGTTTATGAAGTTATAAAGTCAGAAAGCCAGACAATATTAATTATAGTTTTTCTTTTGGTTGTGGTAAGTAAATCTGTCATGTGGGTTCTTCATGGATGCAAAATTTTCAGAAATAAAATAGGCACTCTCAAAAGTTTAATGGTGCAATTAAAATCAATAATTGCTTTCTGATGTTTAAATCATAAAGAAACAATTTTAAGCACATGTATTTGGTTAAACAGTTTCTCACCTGTTTTAAATATTTTTACATATACATGAGAAAGTTAACTATTTTTAATCAAAGATAAAAGCAAGAAATTAACCTATGTATAGTGGGGTTTGAGAAGACTATTACTATGTAATTTTATGCTAAATACCTAGAATTTCTCAAATCAAATCTTCCTTCTGCAGTGGTTGTTTCTTATTAAAATCTTGGAGGAAAATATGTATTCCAGGAAATGATAAACATGAAATAAGACTGTTTCATTATTTGCTGTGCTTATGACTTTATGACTAGAACAAACTCCCTGCTAAAGTAAGTTTAAGGAGGATTACCCTCTTACTAGTCGCAAATGAGATTCTCAGAGTCTAATTATCCTGTGACCAGCTGTGTGGTACAGAAGAGGTAAGAGCATAAAGTCACTTTTAGGAAAAAAAGTCATGGTAGTGTGATCTCCTCTCATATCAAATAAAGGGTGGGATCCTGGCATCTTTATAATCCTGGCTTATATAGATGGACTTTCTTTGTGATATACTCCTACCCTTTCACCTCCCATTTCTTCTACTACCCACCTTTCTCCTTTTTTTTCCACTCCCTCTTTCCCCACTGTACCCTTCCCTCTTTTCCAATTCCTTCCCTTTCCCTCTTTCCTACCCTTCTCCCTTCTGTCTTCTACTTACACTTTGTCTTCTCCTCCCCTTGACTTGTTCCTCCTTCTCTGCCCCATTTTTCTCCATAACTTGGATGTAAAAACCCTAGGAGAAGAACTAAGGTGCCAGAGATACCAGAATTTTAACAATAGTTACTCATTATTAAATTTTCATTTTTTCTCAGAACTCTCTATCTTCCGTGATAAGGACAATATTTTTTTTATAATTAAGAGAAAATGCTAAATTTTTCTAGCACAACATGCTTTATGCAGCATTTATTTATTTTAAGTAGCAATACAAGAACCTGAGAAAACATCAAATGTTATAGTTATTTTCAGCAAAAGTAAACGTACAATATATTACAAAGAAAGTATGCTATCTTTAGTTTAGAATTACACAGTATAAGATGACGAAACTTAGAAATCCTATGTCATATTGATCAAACAATCAAAGACAGTAACATGAGCAGCTTTACTAAAGATAACAAGATGCAATATAGCAACCACTGTAAATTTCTATCAGTTTGTTTTGAGGTCATGTACCATTTTTGTTGTTTTTGTGTGGTTTTGATTTTGTCTTCATTGTTGTTTAGTCAATATTTTAATTTTTAAAATAAAAAATACCATGTCATATTAACACATCAATGGTAAACAATAACTTAATTATGATTAAATTTATAGACCACTGCCTCACATAAAATTCAAAGAAATCAAACATAGTCTTGATGTATTTATAAATGTATCCTAATGTTTTCAAGCAGTCAAATTTTACTTCTATACCAACGTAATGAAGGCAACACTAGTGCAGGCAGATTGAAACCCTTAGTCTTCTGGCTGGAAAAGAAAAATTCTTTTCAGTGGCAGTTCAGTAATTTTTTCAAGCAGCTATCTGTCTAATAATTCTGATAGTTTTCACAGGTATAATCTAATATTAACATGACAAAAAGACTTCACAAAAAACAACACCGTTGCACCAAACTAACAACATGCTTTAACTAATTTATAATAATTTACATATTTTGAAGACTACTATAATACAATAGGCTGGAAAGAATAAATTGATACTTAAGGCACTTGCAAAATTTTTTTTAAAGTTAGGCTAGGAAGAGAACATGAAACACAATACTATTAGTAGTATAATGTTCAAGTTACAGGACAGGTTTTTTGTTTGTCTGTCTGTTTGTTGTGTTTTTTTTTCCTAAGACTAGATGAAGCTCCTTTACTTCTGCATGTCTGAACTTTTAAGATTCTTGAAATACCTTTCAACCAGCCTCATTTTTCTCTGTGGTATTCTCAGTTTCCATAATCTTTGCAATCATGATAGTAAGTATCATTTACTTCTGCACAAGAACAGATTGACTTTAGAATACCATCATCATGTAAAATTTGACTGATTTGAAAGTCCTCACTAAGGATGGCATTTTCCCATGGCTTTGGGTTCCCGATCTTAGAAATCTCAGGAGGACTGAAAAAAATTAAAGAATGATGCATTAGTTTTAGTGTCTCCAAAAGCAGTTGTGTGACTGAATGGTTGTGACAGTAACATCCTTTCCTCCTCTCTAATCTATCTCATAGTCTTTGCAATCTTCAGTTTCCTATCCCCAAGAAAAGAAGGCATCATTTCATTCTGCATTCATTATGTATATTTTCATCACTAGTTCATTTCTGAAATATGGACTGGATACGAAATGAAATTGAAAGGTGTAACTGGCTGGTCAGGCTTTAAGAACTTCAGGCTAACATCAGACAAGAACTTCATAATGGCCTCATCACACTTCTGAACCAAGCTTGTCAGCATTCTCTGAAACTGTGAGCCAGTAGTCAGGAATACCTCTAGGATCTTCTTTTAAGTTTTCCCTTCTGTGATCTTTTCAGATTCACATTCTTTAGGCTTTTTCTCAGGAACTCTGTTATGAGTCTCTGTGCTGGAGCCCTTGGCTTAGACTCTTACTTTAGGCTGTTCTTTACTTTCTGCTTTTGCTTGAGGGAGTTGTTTAGTATCTTTTTCTTCAGGAATTACTCTGGTACAGTCTGTAGATTTTGCTTTCTCTCTTCATCATTTACCCCAGTAATTTCTTTTTTTTTTCATTGTTGCCTTATGGTTTGTTTTTTTCTTATTTTAAAGACAAAAGAGAGAAAATATATTAACAAACACACATACATTTAGAAAATAACACAAAAACAATACAAGCAATATGGTATTTCAGAAAAGGTGATAGGAAATTAACAATGGTTGTTATATTCAATATTTTCTTTAGGAACTTTCTTTAGTCGTTTCCTCGGGAGTTTCTTTATAAACTTCCTTTACTTCAGCCTTCATCTCAAACTTTTCTTTGGAGTTTTCTATTTCCTCACCTTCTCAGGGAGGCATTTACAGGCCACCTCATTACTGCTGAATTCCTCCTCCCCTGAATTCCATTCACATTCTTCTTTTGAAGGCTCATATTCTGTGTTGAATATTTGAAACTATCATGCAGATAGGTTTATTGAGTTCAGCATACTATCTTTTGAAATCATGAATTGACTTTACATACAACGTGCTTACCTTGTAACATTCATCTTGAATATTTCTGAGCGCCTGCACACTATTTCTAACCACCCGAGAGAACCTGTCCCCGAAATCTGTAACGAGGGTGTCCCGCCGCACCCTTCTGGATGGCTGAGGTAACCTCCTCTTTCTATACGAGCCGCTGGGGTTACTACTATTGCAACTAGTGCAGCTGCTAGAACTGCGGCTGTCAGAGTCTTGCCTCAGTGTCTCTAGCCGAGCAAGCCATCTCCTTTTCAGCAACCCACAGGGCGGCAGGTTCCATGACCATTTTAAGATCTGCTTCAGCCGTGTTCCAAGTCTGTAAACCTCTAAAAGTGGTGACTACTGCAGAGAGCGCGGGCCAAGATGGTCGGAAAATAACTCACGGATACTGGGCACTGGCAGAGAAAACGCAAACTGTGGAGGTGGCAGAGACTACTGCAGCATCAGAGCAGAGCGGGTCGGGGCTGCAGCGGTGACGCTGAGGTGGCAGTAGCAGTGGAGACTTGGGAGACAGCCCTGGCTGCAAGGCCGCTCCCAGCTGCCTTTTCTCTCGGTTTACATCGCTAGTCTATAGTCTTGCAGGCCGCTTTTCCATTAATTTCTTTCCCAGGGTGCCTTTAGTTCACCCTCATTTGCTGGATAAACCTTGATTGACAGCTCCTACGACCAACGAATGGCCAAACCCTCCGAGCCTTTGCACCACCCTCCTTCCTGTACACTCTTTGGTGGCTGAGGCTCAAATCCTTGGAAGACGCTTACCTCTCACAAAGTTTTATCTTTACAGTTTTATTATTATTACCTTTTAAAGCGTGAACATGAGGCAGAAATAACAGCCAGAGTTTCTAACTAGGGAAGAAGAGTGTTCTTCCTGCTCCCAGCCGTCCATCATGAATTCCCGTTTACTTGGTAACGGGTCGCTTAAAAAAATCCTGTTTATAAAAAATTGGATGAAAATGCTCTAAATGGCGTCATTGACTAGTGTGACTATGGATGTTTAATTTTTTTCTAGATCTCCTGAGCACGTATTTTTACAATGAAAAAAGGGGGAGTCGTTTATTGTCAGAGGGAGGAGGGGCTAGACAGCAAGCAAATTACAATCCACGCAGCAGATTTAATAAGTGCTGTGTGTGATGTTTGGCAAGCTTGGTTTATATCCGTCTACAAGGTTTGCGAACCCATGTTGCCGTGAGTCAGCTACACCATTTTTATTATATTTCTCTTTTTAAATTGGCATACAATGTGCCCCAACCTGCCTGCTAAAGAAGCATTTTTCAATGTTTGCAAGAACCTTTTAGATAAAACAAAGGGGTATTCAATTGTTAGATAGTATTATTACAAAGCAGATGCTGTTTTTATACGTTTTTGCAGCAGGTTTCAACTCCACGAACTGCTGGATGGGAGGGGAATTTGTGCTAATTGAAATTGCATCCTCTGTCAGTGTATATGATGTCATCTGCCATCAATTTCCTTTTAATATTGTAAAATGTTGAACATATTAAATTATCATTTACAAGTCAAATGATATGAATCATACTTCTGCTAAATGAAATTTTAAAACAGATATTTATTATTTTTATTTACAGGATTCTTTTCTGCTACAGAACTTTTCTCATGGTACAACACAAAAGACCTGTGTTTACTTTTCATTGAAAGGTAAGGAATGTATTTAGCACATTTTTATGAAAGACAAAAATTACTCATTTGTATCTGAATAAACATTCATAGGATGTTGCCTTTTAGAGATTTTACTGGTAAATATCATGATATTTCTACAGAAGCAGAAAAATCCACAAAGGTGATTTGGCAGACTAATGTAGAAAATAATCTACTTTACTACATTTACTATCTAAACTTGGTCATAGAATACGAATATAAAATGTAAAATGTGATGAATTATTAATTTCAAATGAAGAAAAATGTTAAAGTTAGATTAACCTTTATACTACTTTGTACTGTAGAATTTGTACTTGCCATTTAGTTTCATATTTTAAATATTAGGAAACACATTTCTAATTTATAAATGAATTTAATTTTGTTGTTTATCCTTGTCAAAGTATGTGAGAATTGTAAAGGACATCCTCCAATACACAAAATTGCGTTGATAATAAAATAATCTAGCATCAAATGATAAGCATTGCAACCATTTTTATGCATTTCTTTCCAGAAGTTTCCTTGAACATATATACAACTTCCAATTTATGTGTACAGTTTTATCTATATCACATTTTATTATGTTTTGTATTTTGCTGATTTATCAACTAATTGTGATTATATTTTCATGGCAAATGATCAATGCTTTATTTTTAAATGGTTGCATATTCCACTTAATTTAACCAGATTTCAGTTGTAGAGAAGCTATATTCACATCATCTCTTTGCCTACATACCCTCTTTTCCTAGTATAAAAATTTGTCTCTAAATACTTAAAGCATTTATGTCTGTGCTCTTGAGAAAATTAGTATAGGATACATTCCTAAATATGTGGGTGCTGAACTAAGTTATATGCATATTTTATTATTTTATGCATATTGGCAAACTCCTAAACTGTTATCAGAATTTAAGTACACAGAAATTCATTTACTGAGTTATTCAACTACTACATGTTTGTGCCTATTATGTGCCAGAGATACTGATAGACTATGTAATATAATGGTAAATAAAACTTACTGGAAATATACCTTTCCATCTTATTATTTTAATCATAATTCATACCGTAGAACCAGTGAGTTAAATCAATTGATTTATACCATAAATATTGTTCTGCAACTTATTATTTCAGTAAAAAAATGGATGCTATTTTTAACGTACATTCTTACATTTTCATAGTACTTTAAACTTAAATGTCTAAGTTTTATATCATCAGGAATAAGATTGTGACTCAAAGTTGAGCTAGGGATCTACATTTAAAAAAAATTTTTATGAGATAAGTAATTCAAGATGAATCATTTATTGGACAATGCTTCTACAGTATAGTTATTTCAAATGCCACCTTTGTCATATTAACTAAATTAATCAGGTCAATTTTTAGATTTTTTTTGTCTGATCTATTAGCCACAAATTTCCTATAGACTGATGAAGCAGCTTTAAAATAACTTTATATTTTGTGAAAATAATTTATGTCAATTGAAAAAGGTGAGTCTACTGAAATACAAAGAAGAATTTAAAAGTAATTCTAAAACCACCAATTGTTATTCACATTTAAATGAATGTATGGGAAATTTCTCAATATAATATATTTACATTTCTTAGGCATGATGAAATTTAATATCATTTCATATGTTTATTGTCCATTTAAGAGTTGTATATTTGTATTCTTTACTAATTTCCCAATGAATTGAGAAAGAAGTCAAGCAGTAATGAAATCTTCAAGGTAAAATTACATTAGCTTTGATTTAAGGTATGATTTGTAATACTGGGCAAATGGGACTCTATTTCAACCATCATTGTAAAGTTATCTACTTGTAGGGTGTTTGGGGATTTTTTCAATAATTAATTCGTAATCACACTGATACTGAAAATGTTTGGAAAGGAAAAACAAACTTGTTAAATCCTCATACAAAAAAAATTACTAATGAAATACTGTGACTTTTCTTTTGGCAGCATTTATCCTTAGATATAGACTGTGACAATGGTTGGAAGTAGGTGACTTTTTCCAATTACAATAATCTAATTTTGTTATATATTTACTGTCTACATATGATGTAATATGCTTTTATGTTTGTAGCTTTTACTTTGTTATTTAATTTTATGTAGATGGTGCCCAAAAGAATATATTCTTTTTCCTCATATAATCTATTTTATTTATATATCATTACATATATTTTCTAACATGAATATGTTTGTAAGTATTAGTTTTGGTGTATCAAATGACTTTTTTTCTTAAGGATATATATATATACACACACACACATATATATATGAACAGGGGTATATTCTGTATTCTATTTCATGATATTGGGGGAGCTAAATTTCAATGCTTTCTAAGTGAAATGCTGTTTAATCTATTAGTATACTCAGGTTTAACATAGTCTTTGACATCTGTTTATATCTTTTCTGATAAGAACGTATGCAGAATCATTTTTCCCACCCAATCTGGCAAGCAAACCGCCATGCAATCTATACAATGACAACTGTAGCAGCACTTTTGTGTAGGCACTTATGAGGCTAAGCAATGTAAGTTAATTTATTTTTAATTTAATTTTTCTACTTGTTTTTCAATTCATCGATACAGGTTGCATTCATATACACAAGATAGTCCTTTTAAAAATCATATACACAGTACAATGTACATAATAACTATGTAAGGTATGCAATTTTATAAATGTTGATATGAAAGCATAATTACCATCAAGATAATGAAGCATTTTATTACCTCAAAAATTTTCTCATGCCCCTTTGATTAGCTCCCCACATTTCTAGGCAAGTACCAATCTGTTTTCTGTTCTTATAGATTATTGAAATTTTCTAAAATTTTGGGAAAATGAAATAATGCAGTGTAACACACTTTATTTTCCTCCTGTAGCATAATTATTTTGAAATTCACCCATGTTGTTTTACCAGGAAGATTTCATTCCTAATTTTGTCCTGAATAGCTTTCCATTATGTGGAAATACTGCAGTTCATTGGTGGACAATTATATCGTTTTGAGCTTGGGGATACTACAAGTAAAGCTTTTATAATCCTCTCCATACAATTTTTTTTGTATGGATATATGCTTTTAATTTATTTTAGAAAGATATATAGGAGTGGAATAACTGGATCACTTTATAAGAAAGTGCCTATTTCCAAAAGCGGTTGTTTTTGCATTTTCATTAGCAGTTTTAGCACTTGATACAGTCAGTCTTTTTAAATTTAACTATTTTATTAGGTATGTAATAGTATCTCATTGCAGTCATTATAATTTGTATTTCTTTCTTAACGAATGGTGTTGCACACCTTTTCATGCCCTAATTTGTCATCCATATATCTCTGTTAAAGTGTCTATTCACATTTTGCCCATTTTAAAAAAAATTCATTGCCTTACTGTTAAGTTTTGAGAGTTCTTTATATATTGTAGATAAGACTGCTGTCAGAAATAATCTGTGCAAATATTTTCTCCCAATCTATGGATTTACTTGTGTTCTCTTAACATTGCTTTTTCACTATTTCAAAGAATAAAAGGCTCTAATTGTGATGAAATCCAAGTCATCTGTTTTTTTTTTTTTCTTCTAAGGGCTGTGCATTTTGTGTTATCTTTAAATCATTGACTAACCCAAAAATGCAAAGGTTCTCTTCTGTTTCTTTCTAGAAATTTTATATTTTTAGGTTTCACATTTGATACATTTTTGCATATGGTAGAAGATATGGATTGACTCTTTTTTCTTGTATAAATATCCATTTTGTGCGGCACCATTTGTTCAAAAGGTTATTCCTTGTCCACTGAATTGCCTTTGCATATGTGTCAAAAATTTATTGTCCATACATGTTATCTATGTGACACTCTTCACTTCCATTTAATTACTCATTTGGTAGGTATTTATTTGTAGATATACTGGGAAGGAATAAGACCATGTTGCCAGATAATGGAATTTTGGGACAATTGGAGCAGCTGAATTTTCCACATTGACCTTTCAGTTCTCCTTAAAAATATCTGAGGGAAAGAGATAAGAGTAGTCAAAAGCAGAAAAAAAAATCAAAACAAGAAACATAGATGTTCTTCTCTTTTGTGGAGTTGAAGGTATACTCTTATTTACAACCTAGCCACAGGAATAGTAATTAGACTTGGTAAACACAACAAAAGGATGTTTTCATTTTTGTCATATCTGTTAAAAAGATACTTGTTTACTGAAACAAAGTATCTTTGAGCTGCTAATAACATGATAAAAAAGAAATAGTAATAAAACATTGGGTGTCACTGTATCACTTTAATTTTCAAAGTAAAAATATTTCATTTCATATTCATTGCTATGGTAAGAATACATACAAATAAATGGAATATGATACATAGTTTTAAATTTTGATTTAAAAATTGTGCATTACGTTTCTGCTACTACACTTTTAACTGCATGGAGTTATGGAATGGAGAAATCAAGCTTTTTACCATAATACATTCAGTTAAAAATTTTATGAGAACAATTGTCTACTTCCCTATTATTTCAAGTATAACAATATTTGTTATTAACTATAGTGACCAGAATACATAATAGACCTCTTAAATTTTGTCTCCCACCTAATTGAAATTATGCATTCTTTCACCAACCTTTTATCAATCTCCCATCTCTATTCCTCTGGTAATCACCATTTTACTTTCCATTTCTATGGATTTGACTTTTTTTCCATTCCAAATATGAATGAGATTATATGGTATATATATCTTTCTGTGCCGGACTTACTTAGTCTTCACTTAGCATTACTTCACTCATACTTGCATTGCCATACAGAACAAAATTTCCTTGATAAATTATTTATATATACACAGATACATTCATACATATGTATACGTATGTTTCACACAATTTACAGACACTTAGAGTGATTCCATATGTTGGTTATTGTGAATAATGCCATAGTGCAGGTATTCGCTGCACTACAGAGTTCAACATACTGAGGGCCGGGGATATAGCTCAGCGGCATAAGCGCCTGCCTGGCAAGAGCAAGGTCCTAAGTTTGATTCCC